CCTTTGGCCACTAATCGAGCCTTATATCTCTCAAGAGTGCCATCAGAATTATATTTCAGGGCATAAACTCATCTGCACCCTACTGCTTTCTTTCCGTTGGGTCTATCAATAACCTCCCATGTTTTATTTTTCTCCAAAGCATTCATCTCATCTTGCATGGCTTGAGCCCAATTCCTATCTTTCAAGGCTTCATGTACTGATTTTGGGATTGCAATAGAATCTAGTGCTGAAACAAAGCTTTTGTGCTGCACAGAAAGATTAGCAGAGGAAACAAAGTGGGAGATAGGGTATTGAGTACAAGAGGGACTGGAGGAACAAGTTTTCTTGTGACAAGATCTTTTTCCTTTTCTAAGAGCAATAGGTAAGTCATCAGAAGTAGAAGCAATGGGTAAGTCATTAGAGATATCAGAAGAAATAGACAAATCATGAGAGGAAATAATATTAGAATCAGAAACAGAAGATTCAGGAGACTCAGAAGAAATAGGAGATTCAGGACTTACCAGTGGTTCAGACGATTGAGGTTGCTGCTGAGACAGTATGGGTTGTTTCCTCCTCTGATATACCAATTCAGGTGTCAAAATTTTCCGTATCTCAGGTGTATTTGAAGGTTCTGACACACCAAGAGCAGACACACTAGGAAGAGAGAAGATTGATCCAGACTCAAAAAAGGAAGGGGACGAGTCTTCTGATGAACTGTTCTCCCCCTGACGATGAGGACCCAGGAAATAAGATTCAGATTCTTGAAAGGTGACATCCATAGAAACAAAAAATTTCCGACTTGGTGGATGATAACACTTGTACCCTTTTTTATAAGGGGTATAACCAAGGAAGACACACTTAAGAGCCCTAGGATCCAACTTAGTCCGATGTTGTTTATGAACATGGACAAAGGCAACACATCCAAACACTCTTGGTGGAAGGCTCTGCAATATGGGAACAGAAGGAAAGAAGGAAGTTGCAGCTAACACTGCTTCTCCCCAATAAGAACTAGGAACAGATGTCTGGAAAAGTAGTGCTCTAGCAACTTCAAGAAGGTGACTATTTTTCCTTTCAGCAACCCCGTTTTGTTGAGGGGTATCAACACATATGAGCTCATAAATCATACCTCTGTCTGAAATGAATTGTGACAGGCGTTGATTGACGTACTCAGTACCATTATCAGATCTGAGTCTTTTAATACCTTTACCAAACTGAGTCTCAACCATGTGATGAAACCGAATAAATATCTCTGGTACTTCAAACTTGTCTTTCATCAAGTATATCCATGTTATCCGAGTACAATCGTCAATAAAAGAAACAAACCACCTTGCACCTGAAACACTGTGCACTTTAGAAGGGCCCCAAACATCAGAATGGATAAGAGAAAAAGGTTCCCTGCTTTTAATAGTGCTAGAAGGAAATGACACTCGATGGTGTTTTGCAAATTCACAAACATCACAATGAAATGTCTCAACCGACTTATTGAGAAACAGAGAGGGGAACATAAACTTCAAAAGACTAAATGGTGGATGCCCCAGACGCTTGTGATGGAGCCAAATCATAGACTCTGCAGTAGAAGGATGACGTGTCATTAATAACTGATTTTTGCTAGCATGGTCTGGAAGGAGATGATACAACCCATCCTGTTCATTAGCAACTCCAATTGTCTTCTTCGTGGTAAGATCCTGAATAACACAATGAGAAGGAAAAAATGTGATAGAACAATTCAAATCAGTTGTAAGTTTTTGAGTGGAGATAAGATTAGTAGAAAGCTGAGGAACATAAAGAACATTTTTAAGAAACAAGAAAGGTTGAATTTGAATGCTACCAGAACCAATAACTGATTATGGGATCCATCAGCTACAGATATAGTATGACTACCAACAGTAGGATGATAAGAACAAAACAACTCAGTACGACAAGCCATATGATCAGTTGCACCAGAATCCAAAATCCATGAGGTTTTAAAATCAGTGCAAGAAGCAAGAAGAGATATAGAACGTGTGCTCTTACCAGATAAGATCGAAGAACTATCATGCTCGGCCATCTTTTAACAAAAAAAAGTTAACAACCAGCGATAAAATTAACCAAACAGAATATCAAATGACCTCTGATCAGAAAAATAATCACAGATCCAGACAGAAGACAAGAAGATGAGAAGAATGGTGGTGGTCCGGTCCAAGAACACGGCCGCACGCGCCTCCACGCGCCGGAGAAAGGAGCTGCGCGTGGGCTTCACTCGCCGGGAAAGGGGCGGCGCGTGAGAGCGCGTGGAGGGGCTTCTTCGGCTGAGATTTTGTCTGTGGGTGGTCGCGGTTGAAAAGTCGCCGGAAAGTGGTCCAAACGGTGAAGACAGATCTGATTGGAGGCGGTCAGAAGTGTTTGGGTCGTTTGTGGCGGAGGAACAATGCGTAGAATGATAGAACGGAGGAAAAATAAGGTCAACAATGGTCCCCTTGGTCCAAAAGGTCCTCGGAAAAATTTTCCGGTGGCGGCTGATGGCGGCAAGAGGCAAAGAGGTAAATAATCTGTACAAAGGGTTCTCTATTTATAGAGAATACTTGACCTAATTTTGACCTAATGGGCTTGGCCCAATACAACAAATAAATGACTAAATAATAACTAAATAATTATTATTTACAACACTTTCCATTATCTCCAAGTTGGGGCTCATGGACATTCACCTTCCAACTTGAGGGGGGGTATTAACATATAAGTCAAGTTTGTTAGTCAGTTATAATTAATTGGTTAGTTATGTACAGTTGTATTTCTGTTACTGTAAGTTAACTAGTTTGTTAGCTTCTTAGTTAGATTTTCGTTTCTTATTTACAGATAGGCTAACTGATATATATAGCAGTAGCCTTGGTAGTTTGTAGTTACTTTTTTTGATCAATCAATACAATGAGTTTCTTCATTCATAATACCTTATGTATTGAGATTTGCCTTTTTTTTTTTCTACTCAATAGTAAACATGGACATAATAAGTTTTATGATCAGTTTACCTCTGACCCCTTTTCTATTTTCTCATTGCAACGTGTTTATTCTTCCCAAATGTACAGGAGTATGTGCGGGTAAGGATGTTGCTTGTGCGAGTGAGGACGTAAGAGAGAATGTGGAAGCTTATAATGGACACATGGACATGGCTGAGTGGAAGAATGAGAGAGAAACCGTTAAGGTAGAGAATGATTAGGTTACGAGAGAAGGAGGCAGGGGCAGAGAAGAATTTTGGTTAATTCTTGGTAATAAGGTTGCTGTATTGGAGTGCTGGTTCCTCCGTTGGAAGAGCCGGTGCCTTTCTTCGTTTTATTTCAGCATTTAACTTTTTGTAAACACCTGAATTACGATTCAGGTTGTCTGTGATTCGTTTGCAGTTGTTAATGAGAATCGAGACTTATTTTCTCTATGATTCCTCCGATATTCGATTATTGTTGGTTTGTTTGGTTACTGTTTGAATGTTGAAACTCTATTCGGACGGAGTGGTACTCATCAATATATTAGTTAGTTACCTGAATTACCTTTTTCCTTTTAGGAATCTTCCCTCAATTCTGTTCGAGACAGGTCCAAGATTAAAACCTCTTCCAAAGATGATAATGTGGAGTGTGGAGAATGAACACATGTTCTTACCCTTACTTGCTCAACTTCCATGCACTAACTAAACTATCATCATTTGATCACGGCACTAAATGTTTATGGAACAGTGACCAAAATGTCACTGTTTTCCAACTTTTTTTCCTAAATGTCACGCCAACAGTGTTAATTTTCAATATGTCACGTGGGCAAATTCGCTACTCTAGGTAACGAACTTTGTTGCAATTAATGCACCTGCACGTTTCACCTGCCACGCCACGTGACAGATATTCAACGAATTCGCTGCCTGCCCTAGCAAACTTCGTTGCATGTTTGCCATGTGTCATCGTGACAGGTGCATTAATTGCAACCAAGTTTGCTACCTAGAGTAGCGAACTTAATGTCCACTAGGAACGTGACACATCAACAAACTGAATTCGCTACAGTTCCCAACGAACTTGTCCACGTGACATATTGAGAATTAACACTGTTGGCGTAACATTTAAGGAAAAAAGTTGGAAAACAGTGACATTTTGATCACTGTTCCAAATGTTTACCCAGCTTGAAACTTGCTTTCTCGGTCCCTTGGTAGATCTCTTTGCCATTTGCTATTTTCCCGAATCCCTATATTTCTTGTGTGTAACGGCTATAACTCACAGAAGTGAACATAACTATACTTGGTTGACAGCCAGACTGTTCGAAACAACTAAACCGGCTCTCAACTAAACGTGCGTGTCTCCAAGTTACTAAGGAGCTTTTATTTCATATCCTCCAATAAACATGTGTGAATTGTTAACTTCGACAGTTTCATATAGAGGTTAGTAGGTTTAGAGTAATTTATTATGGATGATAACATAACACCCTCAAATTTCTTTTAAAAATAAATTAAACTTGGTTGAAGCCAAATTGTTCGAACCAACTAAAGAGGCTCTCACAACTACTTCAAATTTGCACAAAGATGTGCAGACATTCATTATAACGGCACAACCTTGATAGCCAAAATTAAGTGCAGACTTTCGTTTTCCACCATATAACTGAGTGTATCAGGGTTCTTTCAAAGTTCTAATATTAATGTTAGTTTCGCATAAATGCAGGGATCCAACATTCTTTTATTCCTTCAGGCAACTACCAGAATCTTCCACGCAAGTCAAAGGTTTCCTTCTCTTATAAATAAAACCTTCCATGAAAAACCAAAATCATAGTTCGGGCATATGCTACACAAGAGAGATGTTTTAAGCGAGAAACCAAACACAGAAAAGAAATGCGCAAGGCATTTATTTACTTTCACAGCTAATCGTCCCTATTCTTCAATGATAGGATTTGTTTAAATAACGTAGAAGCACAACACATTGCCATAACATCAAATCAATCAACATATTTCATAATTATAATGTACCTCATTGTTAATATTTTTCTGCTATCGATCACAGATTCAAAATTAAGTGCAAAGAAAAAGCATCAGCGAATGAACTTGTCAACATATGAACTTACCTGAAGTTCAGAGATCAAGTGTAAAAGCATCATATGCACTATCTTTGCACTTGCATTTCAGTTCATAAAGCTAAGATTTTGGTTAAAATAATATAGGACGTGTATATCCAAACGACTATGACCAAATCTAGAGACATAAATAATAAGTACACTTAGCCAGCACAAAAAACCAAACTGCAATGTCTTAACAGAGGAAAAGACTGTTATGATTGTAAAATCTAATAGGCCTAGCAACTTAATAATGCAACTACAAAAAAAGAATCAGAAAACAAGTAATCTCTAACGCAGAACATCTATACTGCAGATCAAAAATAGGGTTTCTATTGAGGGGAGAATTAAGGGGATGGAGGATTCATCGGGTTTTAGGGTTAGATTGGTGGCTATTACGGTGCTGGGAACAGTAACTTCGAGTTCGAGATCGGGTAGCGGCTAGGTTTATCTTTTCTTTGAAAGACGAAAAAGGAAAAGGGTTATCGAAACACAATACAGGGGGGTAGCATATGAGAAGCGCGAGGGTGGAGTTAATTGAGTTGAGAGCTCGAGGCTGCGAATGTGTGACCCAATAACTTCTTTATGGGCCAGAAATCTGAATCAAACTCTGGCCCGAACAATTTATAAATATAAAAAATTTATATATATATATATATATATATATATATATATATATATATATATATATATATATGAGGCAGGATCCTTTGACATCGGTGTCAAATTTGAAATTTGACACCGAATCTGAGAGCTGTTAGATAAAAAAAGATTAACGACTCTGATTTGCAAGCATGTGACACCATTGATCTTTTTTTATCTAACGGCTCTCAGATAAGGTGTCAAAATTAAAATTTGACACCGGTGTTAAAGAATCCTACCTCTCTCTCTCTATATATATATATATATATATATAGTAAAAGTGTGTGTCATTTTAAATGATGTAAAATTGTGTCATTTTAAATAAGAGGAAGAGATATATCATGGGGGAGAGAGTGGACAAGAAATACAAAGGTGCGGGTCTCACATCTTTGTGAGAGTGAAATGATACAAGTTGTGTTATTTAAAAGGACAAACATTTTTTTCAGATATATATATATATATATATATATATATATATATATATATATATGGTTTAAAGTTTCTAAAATTACTTTAGATAACTTTATCACACAAAAAGGTGTGTGGGGTCCATATAGACCTATGTGAAGAGAAGAGAGAGAAAATGAAAATATGGGTCTTACACATTTTTGTGTGTGTATTTTGATGAATATTAGATAAAATTACCTAAAGTAACTTTAAATTTATATATATATATATATATATATATATATATATATATATATATATATATATATATATATATATAGGACAGTTATACTTACTACTCTTAGTACTTGATTTATTACTGTTGGGTCAATTTGAAATTAATGATTAAAAAATGGAAAAATTTAATTGTCGTTGATTTTAAATTGATCTAACGGCAACCAATTAAGTAGTAAAAGTATTAAGATTAAAATAATGGAAAGTATAACCTTTCTCATATATATATATATATATATATATATATATATATATATATATATTATATCTTAACAAATTTAATATATCCTTTTTATTTTAAAATTTTTTAATGAAAAAATGCTACTATAACTATTATTTTGATCTCGAAAAGATGTTATATTTGGCTATTTGCATAACAAGTCTTTTTTAGCACTCTGTTGATTTTTTAAGAATCCAAAAAGTATTAGAATAAATCATTACAAAGACATAATTTTTTTTTTCATTATAAACTTACTGTGTAAGTAACCTTTGGTTTTTGACTTGTTCAATCTTTACTAGTTTTTTTTTTTTAGGATAATTCAGCTTTAGTTTCTTTCTTTTCTTGTATCTTCTTTTTATGTGATCCTTGAGACGCTCAACGTTGAGCAGTGAGCAATACACGCACTTGTGTTGGTGATCTTGTCTTGCGATACGATAATTCTTGGTAACCTTTTTGGACCATTGGTTGAGGGGATACCCACCTGAGGGGTACCTGCTCCTTAAATTACTCGATCAATTCTCAAAAGGTGCATCGCCAAGGAAAAAAATACAAATAAATTGAATAAGTGATTTTGTTTAATTCAAACCCTTTTTTACATTCCAATTTACTCTCTATCATAAATCCGGGTTATTTAACTCATAGAGTGTGCTATTTATTCTTTAAAAAAAAAAATGGCACATACCATTTATTCATATATTAGGTTTGTTTTTGAAGAAATTTGCTTTAAACTAGATGGGAAAGATCAGCGAAATTCCCTACGTATTCCTCATCAGTAGAAAATTTGGATGATCATTCGAATGAGGTCACTCAACATAAAACCTTGTGTGTTCTAATTGCTTGCATATGAGCACACCACTTCGTTCAAAACCCAAGAAAACCTTCAATAGCTTATGACTTGTGTGAAATATTACATAAATCAGATTTTTAATATGAGAATAATCAAAGTCCATATTTAATATAAATGGAGGATTATATTAAACCAATATTTACATTTCAAATATTAATTAAGAAAACTTTAAAGTGTACAATGATATTGGTAAAAAGGTCAAATTCTAAGGAGGCTTATTGAATTTTATTTTATTTTGTATAATTGAAATTAAAAAATTTCAATAAAAGGTAGGAAGTGAAGAAGGAAAACAGGGCGAAAAGAAGGAAGAAATTATTAGGACTTACAGTCCAATACACAACCATCCAAAACAGGTGATGAATGAAGTGGTTAGACATTCCTAGCAATCTATGGCATTAAAACCCAAAAAAAATAAAAAAAAATAAACCTTTATTTATTCATGTTACCGATTATTGATTAAAATTTTAGAGCTCTTATATCACTTTTTTGTTTATTCTCTTAATTTTTTTCTCAAGCTCTACAAGTTCAAATTCAAATAATCATATCTCTGCTTAATCTCCTCTGTTTTTCCCATTTCCCCTGCAGAACCACATGCACACACAAAAGTCACTGCCATAAAAGAGAATAAATTTTCTCAAACACAACAAAAACTGGAATAAATTAATAACAAAAGCACTAATTCTCATTTAAAAGAAAAGTTTGACTACATCAAGATTCTCAGAGGTTATACAAAAATAAGAAGCAAATACAATAGAATAGCAGAAGCAATCATCCCTGTCCATTTCTGCACAGTGGTTGATGCTGAAGAGTCTTCTGTCTTGTGAGGAGGCTTTCTGTAGTAGAATGGAAAGTAAGGTAGAATAGGGTCCGGTGGTGGTGGGGCGCCATAAACACCACCACTGCCATCGCCGCCACTGCCGCCATAAGGTGGTGGTGGGTTATAAGGGTAATACCCTGAAGGTGGTGGGTATATTAACCCTGATTGTGGTGGTGCTGGTGGCACTGTAGACACTGAAGGAGTTGTAGGAGTGGCACTACTGCCAATGGGTGGAGGGTAACATGGATACGCGCATGGGTTGTCGGTTCTTGTTGTGCCCGGAAAAGAGAGGAGTATTATTGAGAGCAAGAAGAAAGTGGAAGTAGCTGGGTTTAAGTGAGTGATGATGGACATGTTTGGATGGAAGGAAAAAGATGGGAAACCAAAAGAAAAAGAAAAAAAGGATTAAGGGGGAGAGAAAAAACCAAGTGGGTGTGAATGAAAGTGAGTCTGAAGAAATGTGTGGGTGGTCTTTTTAGACGGCTACTGCTGTTTTGTCATATTTCAACAATAGAAAGAATGACAAGGATTGAAAGAGAGTTATAGCAATTTGTGTGTGAGGATGAGCAAGTCAAACTTTGGCTGATAGCAATTAGAAATTATGGTCACTCCTTAATGGAACCTTAGTTTAGTTTAATTGCATTTTGTTGGGAAAAAAAAAAAGGAGGAGTGGGTGAAGAGGCTGGGGACAGCAAAGCCTTCTTTTGGGCTATTAAAAACTAAAACGGGGATATAAAACTTCTATTGTTTTATTGGCAAAGAATAAAAATGATTGCACATGGTATGCCCACAATACCAAGGAAGTGTATATTGAATTGAAATACTGATATTTAATGGAAGTTTATAAAAATGATTGATGGTTTTATAAACTACAATCAAACTCTGATATTTAATGACTAAATTACAAAAGAGTCAATTAGTTCAATAGGTAGAAGTTAGCAATATTATTTCAAGCATCTTGAGATCAAATGAAATTAATTTGACAGCTGGCTTCAACTTTTCTCTGATGCTAAAAAAAATATAAAACGAAGAAAAAAAAAAGTTCTTACCACATCCCCCCCCCCCCCGCCGGTATTAAATAGTGTAGGATGAATTTACGTTTTCTTCGAAATTAGAAGTCATAAAAAGATATTTTAGCCATTCCTACCTGAAAAGTGGAGAAAAATTCTAGTAATCAAATCCTTATTGCTACTCATGGCTAAATCACGGTATTGAACTATTGTACTTCTTTTTGCTTTTGTTGATTTGAAGCAACGGTTAATATCATTCTTTGTGTATATGAACTTGAATTCAAAGCCTTGCATCAAATAACAATCCACTCAACCATTTCTGCTAAGTTCAAACTTTGAGTTAATATAATTCATGTCACGCAATCAAATTGCATATCACGTATATGCAAATGTTTTTTGGGCGATTTATACACCAAAACCCAAAGAAATAATAATAATGAAAAAAACTATACAAACAAACTCGATTAGGAGTGTCAACAAGAGTGGGCACTAGATTTATAACCCACAAAGGTATGAGGTTGGGAGTTTGCTCTAACCCTGATGGAATACCAGTGTGTACCATCATCTAAATTTTTAGGGTGTGTTTGGTACAAGTATTTCGAAAGGATTACTGGTAAACCTTCTTTGGTAAACTCAATTACCATATTTGGTAGAAGGAACAAAAATCAGTTCCCGGATATCTAAGAATTACCGGTAATTTAATTTATAAAGAAAAATTACTTTTTCAGATTACAAAAAATAATATGGTAATTCAGAATACCAAGTAAAGGAAAAGTACAACAATAATTTTCGAGACAAAAATACCCCAACACACATAAAAACCTAGACCCAATCTATCAATTACAAAAGTAAAAATAGTTTGGAATTATTTTTGTAAAATAACCTCATATTCCAAGTCATATTTCGTTATAAACTAAACATGAAATCAGTAATCTTTATCCAATATTTCCAGTAATATTTTGGCGAACCAAACACATTTTTCGTAAGATTTCAAGGAAACTCAATTTCTATTGTATTTCCATTAACCGTGATTCCCGGATACCAAAAAATTTCTCTTGTACTAAAGACATCCTTAGTTAAAAAAATAAAATAATAAGACACTCGATCAAGTGTAAAGACTCCCTTAGCATCAAACATTTCATATTAGAGGAAGGAGCCTCCCAAACTCCAGCTAGTTTTATACAACCGAATTGGATTACCTTTTTAGTTTCTGAAACCAAGATACTTCTGTGATTTTACTCTTCATTTGAGGTATGTAGGTTAATTGATGAAATTTTAAAATTTGAAGCCCCATCCTGAAAGGGGTAAATATGATTGCTATGTTAATACAAATGCTCCCTGTCTATTTGTTTCTCAAATATTCCAAAGTAAATAATACGCACTAGAGCAAATTATGCCTCTTATACGTGGTGGTAATACATAAGTTGGCAAAATTATACGTGGTGGTAACAGATAAGTTGGCGAGTCAGCTCATTCATTGAGTTAGAGCCAACAAAATTTTAGGTGATGTCAAACATTAAATTTTATCCAGAAAATTAGCTACGGTTATTAAGTCAGGTTTAAAACGTAGCTAATTTTTGAAATTCAACTTGAGTCAAGGTCTTGGTTGAACATAATGTAGCTCCGCCACTGATTATGTGGTGTAAATAAGCTAGGCTTTGTCTTAAATAGATTAAGTTTGTGTAAAAATATTGAGTATGACCTGGTCTATTAGCTTGTGTAGACCTCAAGTTACAAGTCTGGCCTGACCTATATTTAAAAAATAAAAGCATTGGTCCAAGCCTGTTAGCCTATTAAACATTCAACAATTAAAAGAATAATTAAAATAATATTATTTTATTATTCAAAATTATTAAAATAATAATTTTATTTATTATATTTTAAATAAATAATATGATATAGGCCGATCTGTAGGCTTATAGGCCCGACATGTACAAAAAAACATGTGGCCTGTTTTGTAAATAGGTTTTTTTAAAAGCTTAGACCTGCTCTATTTTACTATTTATAATAGGTGAGCCTAATGTAGGCTAGGCTATATAGGTCCTTATAGGCCGACCTAGTCCATTTACACTCATACTATCGAGTAATAATGGATACACAATGACATTATGGAGTATACATTTTCTTTTTCCTTTTTCAACAAACCAACTCAACTTTATGTTCCATAAAATGTTTGCAATCAACACAGCATCCTTAGTCTTTAAGTTGTATTAACTTTGCATGATTAATCTCTTTTGCAACTATTTCAACAATTATACCTTCAAATCTTAACTTGCAAAGTTCGTTCAAAAGTGATTTAGGTCTTCTTTCGGAGGAGAAAGCATCAAATCTCGATGATGTCATCTAAATGAAAGGGATGCTTTCCCTCTTCGAAAGACAATGGAAGAAAGTTCCTATTTTTATACCTTTTGAGAGAATTTATAAGATCTTTTCTTTGATTTATGATTTATCTATTGGATCGTGGAAGCTCTCCTTGAAATACTCAAGAATATACTACCCTGTACCCGATGCACCCTAAAGCTGCACTATTCATTAGACTCACCAATTTTTCTCCAAAATGAATACCGAACAATGGTATTGTTTTGGGACCATAAAGCAGAACACACGGGATTTTAGAGATTACGGTCATTAAAGGATCTCATATCTTACATGTACAGCTATTCACGTAGCAAAACAGTTTATCCTTTTAAAACATACAAGTTGTGTTATTTTAGTTGCTTATAATTACGTATATATTTATAGGATAAATGATTTCTTCAGTCATTGAAGATAAGTTATCTCCAATAAATTCAAAACGACGTCGTTTTGAAACAGAAATCAAAGTGTTTTTATAATTATAATATATTAGAGGGTTATTTTAGTCTTTATCATTATAATTTTTTAATCTTATAATCCCAACACAACATTGTTTTGAGCTCACTGGAGAGAACTTTAACTCCAGTGACTGAAGAAATACTTTTTTCATATTTATAATATTAAAAAAAAAATTTCTCTTTAGAGAATCTATAAACTGACGTGAAAAGTAAAAAAAAATACAACTTTAATATTATAATTATATACTTCTCTACATATTTATAAACAGCTAACAAATTGTATCATTTAAAATAACAAAACCTTTTCCCATTCACATATCCCACTTTCTTTGGCTTCACTCCAGTAATCTGCCACCCATCGCAATTATTTATTTTATAGAGACGGCTAATTCTTAAATGGGATATATTTTTCTTATGTTGTAGGAAAACAATTATCTCATGTTATAGAAATAAAAGTATAAGTGGGACCCACAGGTAAGAGAAGAGAGAAAAAAGAGTGGCGAGACCCAACCTCTTTTGATGTGTATAGGAAAATTATTTATCGTAAAATGAGATAAACATAACCCTTCTTAAATTTTGGATTAATTACAATCCGCTTGAATCAAAGAGTTATTATAAAAGATTAAGGAGGTAGACATGTGTCTGCCGTTGGATGGACTTCTTTACGTACGAAGTCTAAAAATTTTGTTATAAGAATAAGAATTTTTTTTTTTAAAAAAAAAACCCTTAAAAAATTTAAACTTCTCTAAAAACTTCAAAACCCGTTTTTATTTCCTTTTTGTTTTGAAAAAAAAATTCTTTTTAACTGAAATTGCCTTACCTAAAACGGATAAAAAGTTATCCAAGATCTCAGAGTGAAATGTTTGCACAATGTATTCGTTGGGATATATTACATCACTTCTTCACGTGTTTGGGTATAAAGAGAAAAAATATAACAACACCCAAAATTTGATGTTTCGATTAACAAAGTTACAAATCTTTTGTTTTTTTTGTTAGAAAGTTACAAAACAGGTCTTATATATCAAACAGAATTTTTATTTTTTTTATTCTAAAAATTAAAAAACTGTTTTTACAAATAGTATTCAAACAGGCCCGAATTCTCTCACTCTTTTTTATTTTTGAGAAAATGTTCCGTTTCTTTCATCACAATAGAGAGCTACCACTGTTGCTGTATATAAATATAGATGGGTTATAAACTTCTCTAGGTAGATGCTTAGTTTTGAACCAAACAAAGGTTGTTTCGAGGACTGCGAGAATCGAATCATAGAGGAGCATGTGGACAAGATTGCAATTGAAGCTAGTGTCCAATTTGCTGATTTCAGAAGTGTAATTCAAACTTCAAAAACCCATTCCATACGCAATAAGAAAATGGAAGAACAGCTGGAGAAAAAAAAATGTATGAGAATGAATGATTAAGACGTGTGGGCCAAAACCAAAACAACATTTGTATCATAGGTACAACCACTCTATTGTCCAATTTTGATAAACGGAATTGACCGAAACTAGATCATTCCCTGAAATCGCATAAATGTCAAAATTGAGTGAATGTGGAACTGTTTTAGTCTGAATACTCATAAGTTGGATAGATTGATATCCAATAGCTTTGATAGTAATGGCTGGATATAATAGAGCAAATGAT